CAAGCATCTTCTAGCTTAAGTAAAGGATTCTCCTTTTAGCAATCTCTTTTCTTGTATTTGCTAAAACTCTGTGTGTAACCAAAGATTGTTTAGATAGGTTTTCATTACCTTATCTTTCCGCAAACAGTCTTGTAAAATATGTATTGATCTTCTCTATCAATATATATTTTAAATATGAAAATATTGTGTTTGTATTCATCCCCCCCTTCTACAAACTGTTTCTATTCTTGTAGACCCTTACGGGACCAACAAGGTTGTTCCTTAATTCTTGAACATAATATACATCACTAATGACATGATTAATGCCATTTAACATGATCTTGATATTTTCTTTCCCAACCACCTTCATGCGTGGGTTGTCTCCTAGTTTCATAGTGCTCACAAAACTCTTGTCCAACTTTGAAAACCATCTTTGATCACCACTCATTTGGTTTGAACAACCTGAGTCAAGGAAACATGCATCTTCCTTTTTCTTCCCTTTCATATCCACATAGACCATCAAAAGCATCTCCTATTTCTCCTCAATGTAGTTTGTTTGATAGTTCCAATCGGGTCACTCATAACTGAAGTGCATTAATTTGTGGCATTGATAACAGCCAATAGTATCTCATGAGTAGTTTTGCCTTTCTGGACCTCGGCCTCGGCCTCGACCTCTTGGTGAAATCCTCCCTCTTCTTCGAGTTCCTCGTCTTTCCTCATGCAAAATCTTCAAAGCCTGGTCTTCTTCACCATCTTTATCTCTCACGAACTTTTGAGTTTGAAGTAAGAGTGAACTTTGAAGTGTATCAACGGACAAGGTATTGATGTCGTTTGACTCTTTAGTTGAGAAAATGATATAATTCCACTTCTCTATGAGGGTGCAAAGAATTTTCTCTGCAACCTTCACATCTTTCATATTCTCACCATAGTTCCTCATCTCATTAGCAATTACCATGACCCTACTAAAGTAGTCTGTATTCAGACTCACCTTGTTTCATCATCAATATTTTGATGGACCTCCTTAGCCTATTTAGTTAAGCCTTTTGAACTCTTATGCTCCCTTGGTACTTCACCTTCATCTAATCCCAGAGTTATTTGGCAGTGTCCCTCTTGGAAATAGTCTTGAGGATTGTTTTATCTATTGAAGCAAATAGATAATTCTTGGCCTTCAAATCTTTTATCTTCAGGTCTTCTATGGTCTTCCTCTGGCTAGAGATAAAGTGCTAGTATCATCTAGGATGACTGTCTCAATGACATTCCAATATTCTTTGGCACATAAGACGTTCTCCATCAAGAGACTCCAGTGCCCATAATCCCCTTCGAACTTGGGAAGTCAGGCCCTAATGTTTCCATCTGAATTCATCACTATGTTCTTTTCTTCCTTTGGTTGAAGTCAGGTGTCCAGATTAAGGCCCTAATACTAAATGTTGATCTAGCTTCAGCAAACAATTTAGAACAACTATATGGAAATGAACTGATTTGCTATTAACCGGTAGCTAGATGGGCTTAAATAGCCGTACAATACAAAGGGAAATAAAAAACGTGCAACCTTACAGACTTCAAAATAAGCTTGAAATGAATTGACTAATACTAAAGAACAACTTGTTTATCAAGTAAATATAGACTTGGTAAACCCTACTATTACCCCAACAGTAATCATTGTAGACGTCATCATCTAGTTGTAAAATAATAAACCTCATCTCCCACATACTTGGAGCACCTGAATAGTACCACGCCTACTTCACTCACTGCTTCACACCTAAAGTTTGGTCAAACCCATATTTCTTTGTCAAATTCAAATAATATTAGTGTTTCAAATCAGTTAGACTTGAATCATTTCATTTTATATATGTTGGAACTTTCTTATTCTCCTCATGGATTCTTTTGGAAAGTAAATTATTGTTATTTGTTAATTGTTTTTTGATTAGGGTTCTTGAATTTGTTATTTAACTTAGGTTTATTATTTTGATTTAAGATTTGTACCGGTTAATTTAATCCAATTTCTTAGCGCCTCTGACTTTTTGCAAATGATTATTAACTTATATGTTTATTAGTTGTTAAACATGTTAAGTAATCTTTCACTAAGTTTGTTACAAATTGCTTTAATACCAAGTGCCAACATGTTTTTTACTACAAATTGGTTTAATACCAAGTGCCAACATGTTTTTTACTACAAATTGGTTTAATGGGTTGTTCCTCTAGCATGCGGTTCATTATGAATCAGTCGAATTTTGTTTTCATATGCAATGTGTTCATTTGCTCTAAGTTTAACCAAAATAAACTAATACCTAATTAGTCATATAATGTTTCTATTTAATCGAAATAGTAAAACATTAACCAAAAACCGAACTGAATAGGTTATGTTTATTCGGTTAACCAAAATGTTTAAGCTAAACACGAATAACTTAAAATAGTTTTGGCTCGAATGAGTTATTCAGTTTCGAAACTTTTGACACCCCTAGAGTTCACATCGGCTAGACGTGACCATTTCACTTTTATATATATGTTGGAACTGTTATTAAAAATGCACCAAACAAAAACCCAAAAGTAAAATAACATAGAAGGTTCGAGTCTCGGCGAGTGTTGAACACGCTTTCCTTAAAAAACCGATTCGCCCCCAACCGGTGCGTCGAATTTCCAGGATACAACAACTCTAAACAAAATCGGGTTCTGTCAGAATTTACCTTCATGCCTGAACTTAAAAACCTCTTTTCTCTATTTGATGTCTCGGTTTTCATTTGTGGCTCCTTCCCCCCCCCCCCCCCCCTTTTTTTTTCCTCTAAAACTCAAGGTTGTGCTGTTTATATATAAAACATAATTGTAACTTGTGGAAAGTTAAAGGCCTTAATACAAAAAGTAAATTGGATTTTATCATGTTTGTTTTGCTATTAACTGTAAAACCCATTTTTTTTAAATATATAAATAATATTATTTGAGCCTTTAAATATTTTTTTATTAAATTATTTGAAATGTAAAATATTTACGTAATTAATTAAGGATTATAAAGTAGAAATCTTAAATAAATAAATAATAAAAAGAAAGACAAAAATGAAAATAAAATAGAATTGTTTTCTTTTAATTATTGGACCAAAAATGTAAGATATTACGTAAGGAGGGGTCCAATGGTAAATGTCAGAAACTTGAGGGGGCCGAATATCATCTTTTTCAAAGATGAGGGACCTGTTTTGCCAAAAGTACATAACTGTTTAAGAAAACGACCCATCAGCAAAAAAATCGCGATTTGGTCCGATTYCRTCAACTAATATGCCAAAWCTCTTGCATATAAATATAGAACACCGGTTTATGATCGTTTTGGTTCAAATATCTCGAAAAATAGTTGAGTTTTGAGAGAGAAATCGGAGTTTGAAGTTCGGGATCGAAAATCTCGGTTTTTCACCGATTTTGGGTGAGATTCTTAAGCAAATCTCTTGATTTTTATGTCTATAGCTTCGTTTTTAAGTACTCTATCAAACTCCAGTAGCCTCATGTCTCATATTTGTGTTTATGTGGTTTGATTTTACGTTTTTAAGTTGTTAAAATTTAGTTTTAAAATCAAACTTTAAATGAGTAAATGGAACTCATTTCTTGATGAAAATTCGTGTTCTTTATGTCAAAGTGTTGGTAAATTATTACCAAGAGTTTGGTGCAAAAAAAATGAAGAAAAACGTCAAGAAACGAGCTATTTTTTAGATTGAAAAGTTCAAAAAACGTGAAGAATTTAGCTGCTGTTTCTTGATTTTTTTTGGGCTGGGCCTGCTTTCATTTATGTCTTGGGCTGGGTCACGGACCAGGTCGACCGGCCCAAGACCCGCGTCCGTTTGCATTTTAAAATAAAAATGGAATAAGGCGCATGCTGCATGTGGGTTTCGAACCCATGACCTCAAGCTCATCGCATGGATGCATTAACCAGTAAGCTAGTCTTCGATTTGTTGATTTTATGCCTTGATATTTTTATTATACAATAAACGTTTAAGTTTCAAAGATTAACATTTAAACCCCTAAAGTTCTAGAAAATATTTTTTATCCAATATAATTTTATGAGAGTTTCATCAAGTTTATATGAAGTTTGTAAAATGCAAATTTTGACCCCATTTCGATTATTTATTCCGTTTAGTTACCAAAATGACCCTACAATGTGGGAATCGGTATTTTAGCGATATTTTACGTATTTGCTTTATAAAATTACCGAAATGACCCAAGGTCTTGAGAATTGGTATCTAAGTGTTATTTTAAATCTAATCTCTATGAAATTACCAAAATGACCCTACAATATGGAAATCGGTATTTTAGCTATACTTTACGTATTTGCCTTGTAAATTACCGAAATAACCTTATGTATTGGGAATTGGTATCTATGTCTTATTTTGATTGTTATCCTTATGAAATTACCAAAATGACCTCACAATTAGGGAATCGGTATTTTAACAATACTTTGAGTATTGCTTAATAGAATTACCAGAATGCCCCTATGCTTGGGATTGGACTTTTAAACACCGTTTTAATATTC